CAGCAAGACTTCTTGGAATACATATGTAGCCCTTGTGGTGGCACATATGGTACATGACTTAAGCTGCCCAATAAAAGAAAGTAGAAACAATACTAGAGCTTTTTCACTTTGCAGCTAGCTTGGGAAGTACCACATTAGCATGGCAAGGTTTGGTTAGATAGTTAGCCAAGTCTTAGTCAGGCTAGTAAAACACTGCCATGGTTCCAACTGGAGAACTTCATTCATACAATAATGAAAATTAGACTATATGAAAGATGTCACACCAGCGCCATCCCACATAACCCAGATACAGAGTTGCCAGAGCAATCAAGTCATACATTAGCTGCTTCAAGGCAGTGTGTCATCTAAGTGCCATAAGTTAGTGATCCTGTTCAGTCTGCCTTCAAATCAAAATTGGAATGTCTTTCTGGAGGAAGGAAACCCCTAACACAACAGATACTGAAAACCTGGAGGAGCACCGAGATGGTTAAGGGCTGGAGAACATGGCAAATAAGGTTAAACTAGTGAGCTGAACTTATGCAGCATGAAGAATAGACCGCTAAAAGAGAACTGGTCTACTCAATAGACAAACCTGCATTTATACAGAAGACAAAATCCAAACCCTTTAGAAATTCACAGCACACTGACACAGATGCAGCCTGCAACAGTGGAAATCCCAGACAGACACAGAGAATGATTATTTGCGATGAGGGTGGCCAAACACTGAAACAGTTTGTCTGGAGAGGCTGTGGAATCCTCACCCTTGCAGATTTTCAGACCTCAGCTTGACAAACCCTGAAGTAACCTTATCTAATTTTAAGATTACCATCTCTTGAAGATGTCAGATCAGAAATTCATTCCAACTTAAATTTTTCTAGAACTGCTTCGAAAATAACATCTATTTTATTATCTTGGCCCAGGATGACAGAGGCAAATGGTGGTGATATGGCAGTAAAGGTTTTACCTTTCCAACAGTACTGCATTCAGTTTTGTTGCCATGTAACAGATGGCAGCAGAGAGGCAGTCTAACAAAATGGTGCCTGATGTGGAAGCGCGTATGAAGCAAAGGTGTGTCACTAAACTCCTTCATGCAAAAAAAATGGCACCCATGGAGACTGACCAATACTTGTTTAACATTTAGGGAGACCAAACAGTGCATGCGAGCACAGCAGTATAGCGCTTTTCAGCAATGTCAACAGTAACATGAAAGACAAACAACATTTCAGGTGAACATGAACAGCTGTCACACCAGGAAATGAAGAGTACCTCAACCCATTTATCCTCACAAATTTGTAAATTATGACCAAGGAATGGTGTACTAACAGCTTATTGGCTTCAGTGCACTGGAAAGACTGCAACAGCTGTATGTTTTGATGGTGGCAGCGTTGGAATACTGCAAAGCTGTGTCTCACAAATACTCACAGGAACAGAAGGAATACCGCATGCAAGTTTGTCAGAACCAATATGAGGCTGAAGGTGACAGTTCACTGGATTGACGTAATTACTGGTGACTAGAGGTGGTGCCATCACCATGAGCCAGAGTCGAAACAAGAGTCCATGGAATGGTAACATGTGAATTCCCCATTGAAGAAAAAGCTCAAGATGCAGCCCTCAGCAGGTAAAGTGATGTGCACTGTCTTTTGGGATAGGAAAGGAGTGATTTGAATTTCCTGGAACGAAGACAAATCATTACTTCCAACCACTAAGCTCAAGGCTCAAACTTCCAGAGCCTGAAAGCTTAAGCCGGATAAGACAGCCATCTTTCTCTTGCAACATGGTAACACCAGGCCCCACACCAGTTTAAGACGGTGGAACACACTGCCAATCTTGGCCGGACTCTGCTACCACAGCTACTCTACAGTCCAGATTTGGAGCATTTTGACTTCCATTTGTTCATGTCGATAAACAGTGGACTGTGTGGGGAACATTTTCCTAGCAACGGCACTGTTGTAGCAACTGTGAATCAGCAGGGTCACCTCTATTAGTGCGAATTTTTACAAGCATGGCAATGCAGATTTTTGTTAATCGCTGGCAAAAATTCATAGCTAATGGTGATTACATTGAAAAATACTGTTTTGTAGCTGAGAATGTGCTCTATCGAATAGTGTTACTGTGCTGTTTTCATGGAAATACACAGACATTACTTTCAGAGTGACTAAAATATTCTATGTTCCTTAAGCAACGTAATTTTCACGTCTTTTCCTGATATATATATTTTTAACATTACTAAAACCCTACGGTCAAGACCGTAACCTGTACTGATGTGGGCTTCATATCATCAGTATATCCAAGGCAGCTTAAGAAAATAAAATATATTACTTTCTTACTCTTGCTTTATATTCCTCAAAATTTCAGCCCCTCTACATTAGCTCCACACTTGGGATTCTGGCTCTCCATTTTTTTTGGGAGGTGGAGGGTCTGGGGGAGAGGGCGAAGGGGTTTTCTCTATGCCCCCTACTTAATCCCAGAAAACAGTTTCCTGTTAAGCAGGTACATACATTTACAAACAACCAATACAGAATGATTTTAGATTCTGCTATACAACAGACTGTTTGAACAGGCCTCATTGGTGATTCTTTTCACCATCTACAAATCAGCAGAACTTCACAGTACCAGCCACAGAATCATAAAATATTTTGGATTGGAAGACACCTTTAAGATCATCTAGTTCCAACCCCCCTGCTATAGGCAGGGACACCTCCCTCTAGACCACATTGCTCAAAGCCTTATCCAGCCTGGCCTTGAGTGCTTCCAGGGAGGGGGCATCCACAACTCCCCTGCGCAACCTGTTCCAGTGTTCCTCCACTGTCGCAGTAAAGAACTTCTTCCTAATACCTAGTTTAAATACACCCTTTTCCAGTTTAAAGCCATTTCCCCTTGTTCTGTTGCTGCATGCCCTTATAAAAAGTCCCTCCTCCACTTTCCTGTAAGAATCCTCACTTGGATCATGCTTCCTCCAGTAACAATGTTGTCATTCTCCCATTCCCACAAACTTTCAGAAAGGCATTCAATTTCCCTGATACGTGTGGTTTGTTTTTTTGTTTTGCTGATGAAGGTTTTACACCAATGCATAACTGCATTATACATAGTGAGCATTAATGCCAAGCAACTGTGCTCTAAAAAAAGAAAATTCTTTTTTTTTTTTCCCCCTCAGATAAAATTTTATATCCATTAAAGCACTTTGGTCACAGTTCTCTTAATATTCTTTCACATTTACTGAATCCATCACTTCCCCTCTACTCCTCCCCAAACTGATATTAGCCTGAATAGTTACTTAGATTATCTTTCCTTTGGCCTTATTAATCACAGTTTTCCTTTCAAATGATCAGTTTCCTAAATTTTTTTCATGTCCTACTCAATGCCATTTTTCTCTACTATTCTCACACTTAAGCTTTCCAAAGTGGGGGAGAAAGGAATAAAAAAGCAAAGGCCCTTGAACTGTCCCTTTCATATTGAAATGAAATCCAGACAGATTGAAACAGAATTTGCCCTTCATAGACAACCTCAATGGTGGTTAACTATAATTTGTGAACTTCAGAAAATCTACCACCTTTTTTTGTCTTACTAAAAAAAAAGCAAGCATTGAAGGTTTAAAATGAAATCAGATACAAGGAAAAAAAATCATTTGGAGCAAGTTGTTGACATGCAGTGTTTATGTTGCCATATCAACACAGACATATACCTTTCTCTATTATCATTCAATTCTTCTCAGTATCAGCCAGCTGTAGCTCTTTTCTACCACGCACAATACTCCTGGCCTTAGTTCACAACTTCAGAACAGTTCTAGCAGATTTGGTCTCTATCAGTGCCTCATTTCAAGTTCAGATAGTCTGCCTGCCTACTTTGCCCCTCTACTTTTCACTCCCTTTAAGTCATCATATTTTTCCATCTGGACCACACAACTGTCTGCTGTCACTTCCATATCCTTACCTTAAGCTGCCATCTACCTTTAAGTAATTGACTCTTTCCATATTTTCTTTGGCCTTTTCATGCATCTCCAATATATATCTTCTTCACCTCAGAGACTTTCCAAATTAAGTTAGTTTCTTCTACCTTCTCCCCTTTCCTGTCTCCCATCCTGTCAATTTTTTTATTTGTAAAATGGCAACAATGCAAATGCATTTAAGCAGAACTAGCACATCTGCTCAATGCAGTATTTTCATGCACTGTGTGCCTAACTATAGCACAGTACTTTAAGAAATTAAGAGTACTGCCATTTAGTTAAAATTTGCTGCTTTAAAATGAGCTTATTGTCTTTTTTCGATACTATCTGATGGGGCAGATCAGATAAATATCACAGTTTGACCCGTTTGCTATTTACAAATACATCTTTTTAAAATTCACATAACACTTGTGAATATGCATTTATACTGAAAGATAAATGTCAGTTCAGCATCTTGTGCTTTGATAAGCTTTACCACCTCACAAAGATGATAATTAAACCACAATGAGTGGTTTAAGACCATTTAAGACCATGAAGCCAAAAAACCCCTCTCCCCTTGCCCCCCTCCCTCCCCGCAAAAAAACAAAGAAACACACATCACTGATATGTTCATAGAATCACTAAAGTTGGAAAAGACCACTAAGATCTAGTTCCTTCAATTCAACCTTCTTAATTCTGCACCCTGTTCAAGGATAGGCTCACAGCAGGGCTATGGCTCTGTGTGCCAACTGGTGTCTCTATGGAGACAGAACACTAGTGAGACACTTGGGGTTGGAACCAAGCAAAAAACAACAATATCAACAACAAAGTACTTCCTAGAGATTTTATTATTTTTAAAAAGTCTTCAGTTTAACTTACACAAACATTTTACAATAATTTGTAGTTAGCATTCTCTCTAATGACAGTGACCCAAAATTAACTACAGCAAGCACAACTGACTTCCAGGCTTCACAGAAAAATTCCTGATTTGAATGTAATAAAACTGGCATTTTGCCAACATAGGGATGACCACCTAAGTGGAAAAATAGCTTCAAAGGCCTCTGAAACATTAATGCAGAAAATCAGTAGCTCATCTTACCTGTGGAGAATTTGACACGTGCAAAATGAACTTCCTCCTCTGAATAAGCCATTGACATTTAGCTCATTTGCATAAGAAACAAGAAGTACAAGTAGACTTCCAGGTCAGCCATCTTGATACTAAGATCTTATTTTGTTTATATAGCAGCAAATTATTTTCGATCCAGACTGAGCTATGCTATTGTACCTCTCTGCTAGCAGCCTACATCCGCTTGTTAAAGCATGCTGGAACTGCCACTTATTCACACAAGTGAATCAACGTGTCACTGCAGCTCAGCGAGCATGCCACAGCCTCCAAGTGAATGTTGTAACTGCAAGTGTCCACAGCCGGAACTCTTTGTGCAGCCTTCTGTGCTGCCAACTATTAGCACTGCAGCAACTGTGTGCAGTGAGGTACCTCCCACATACCACACAGTGGTACCAACAAGCATAAATTTATTACAGCTCAGCAGAAGACAGCATACTTAAAATAAAGAAGCAGGCAGAAAAAATTATCCATGTTTTCAGACACCAGTAATCTAACTACACCTAGGCTCTCTTGTACATCCTTTTCAAATTCATCAGCGTTGCTCTTCCTACTCAGATACCGAAACGCTTCTGTAATCCACGCAAAGTCAAGTCCATGACACATGTTACTTGCTGCCGAGGCTGAGCCAGACTGCAGTTACAGCTAGCTGGCGCCAGTAAAAATTTACATAAAGGGGGCCTCATTTCAAGACAAAATTGCAGCAGAATATTGCCAAGCAAAGCTCCCCACCCCCACACTGGAGACAACTACATGTTCTAGAACATATACCTATCTGCTTACTAATAATCCAGATCCCCATCAAAAGTGTGGCTCCTACTGTTTATATTAACACTGGCAATGGTCTCCACAAAAGAAATGCCACCTTGAAGCAGGAATGCTGAACATTGAATTGTTTGGAATAATTTTGGTAAGCATTCCATAATAATTTAAGTAACACTGAATAAATGCGTACGCTCAATGCTCATACCATCAGCTATTATATAACTGATTTTTCCAGCCTACCAATAATAAGTATCAAGTAGAGCAGCTCCATTTTTAACCTACTGTGACAGGTAACATGTTTGGCCAGTTTGTTTAAATTACTATTTCCTTTTTTCCCCCCTCCCCTCTTCTGTCCTCACCATGTAGGTAGAGCTGTGGGCTTTGTTTCTTTCAAGTACCTAAAAGGACATAGTGGCAGGTAAAGAGAGAAGCCCAGATTTTAGCCTCATTCGGAGTTCAAACAGTTAATGTTTTACTTCTTGCTTTTTCATCCAGTTGCCATCCAACAACCTATATTACAGTCAAAGCCCTGTTATATTAACAAATATATGATATTTTACAAATGCCTATTCTAACAGTCACTGTATTTTGATGGGGAAAAAATAAACCAGGCTTTGCTTACTATGAAATCTGTTTATATAAAGGGTGAATAGTTGTGCAGTACCTTTCCCCAACCCTCTCCATTTGCAGCCTTATGAGAATCTCTTAGGGTATGACACAACTGAAAGTAAATATACTATTTATTATGCTATACATAAACATTTATTTGTGAACCCTGAAAAAAAGCTAAACCCACAATAATGTTGCGCTGCACATCCTGCAGCGCTGTTTTAGGTATGCTGTTACACCATTTAGCAGAACACAGAAAGAGAGAAGTAATGGAGACAGAGGTGCTTGCCAATTCCAGTCAGGCAAAAGCACAGCCACCTCAGAATCAGAGAATCCTACTTTGCAGTCCTGACCTCTTCTTGCTCTCTACACTATTTTTTCTTTAAAATGTTAACAATATCAGGGCTGGATTACTTTTAATGCCCCCTTTTCACTGTGGAAGTACAATTTGCTGTAGGGCTGGTTCTAGGTTATTTAAGAATAATATAGTTTACTTATCATACTGTCATAAAGATACTGATTTTGCATCTGAAAGTATTTAATAATGCAAATTATTTTTCATTAGTTGTTACAATTCAAGCTCAGAAGTTGTATCCAAAAGCCTGAAGAGATGTGCAAGGCAAATACTATATTTTTTCCAGAATGACTGTCACAGTAGAATGACAATCATTAACCATTTAAGTGATCTGACTCCACCATTATTTCATGTGCATCTTTTGATTGATGTTACTTTCAGATAGATGTATGTATGTTAGCACATGTAAGCACTGTGCAGAATACATCCTTTAGCGATGCTTTTGTTGTTTACAGAAGGAGTCATTTGATGAACATGCTCAGAACTGGAAAATAAAGGCCACCAAGTCTGTTTTTAAAAAACCACAAACACTACCCTCCCCCCCTGCCCTTTGCATTTCCTATAAACAGCTGTTCCCCCATCTCCCACCCGAGCTCTCCAGCTTTGCACACGAATACCAGCATAGCAGTATAATTCTTATCACAGAACGCGGTACTAGTTAACTCATTCTACCTCATTTGATTTCCTAGCTCAGGGAAATCCAGGCCACAGTTTGCAGCCAGCCCTGAGGATGAGCTCTCCAGCTACTGTCTGGGGGAGGCACCACCCTGCTTCCAGAACATTCTCTGCAAAGTCAGCCACACTCCCTTGGTTTTACGTTCCTTTCCACTCCTTGCTGCATGTCACAGCATGTACAAGCTAGTTATGACAGAGCTAGTTCTCAAATGCAAAATATTTTCCTGTAGGGGAGGAATTGTTCATTCGGTATTCAGGAACACATGAATTAAATTATAAAGAACAAGAGAATTAATGAGAGGACTTGCTAAGCTCCAGATCAGCCGTAGCAACATCTGTGTGCTGCAGCCAAAGCAGCCTTATCCATCCTGAAAAGTAGTACTGACCATTCTAAATACTTCCAAAAGGTAGTGGGTTTTTTTGTTATTATTTATTTTTGTATGGGAGAGTAATGTGGTAAACAAACAAAAAAGCCATTAGCATATTCCTTTCCATCCTTCAGGGAGTGGCATTACCAAAAACAAAGTCTGAAATGGCTGCCTTTATTTCCCACACTCAGTACAGTCAAAGACAACCATACAGACAACAACAAAAAAACACAAAACAGAGCAACCACTGGAGGACTCTTCCTTCAAACACAAATGCAATTTTCTAGTCTGTGATCAGAAATGACCTCAAAGAGCAGATGTTACAGTCAAAAGTAATGGGGCCAGTTGTGCTCAAAATAATTATTATACCTATATGGTTTTAATCGGTACATACGGTAGAAAATATCCTCAAATTTTAAATGTCACAGTTGATTTACCTCAGATTAGGAAAGTACAAAAAAATCTGCAACTGAGTAATTTGTACAAACATTTCATCAGCAAAGTTCATCTTACAAGTAAATCATGATGAAATCTGTATTAAAAAGCTCAAAAGAAAAATAAAACACACACACACACACACACAAAAAAAAAAAAACACAAAAGAAAACCTTATGGCCCTGGGCCCCCTTTTGGCAATACATTTACATACAGCCCAAAACATTCCCTTCTCCTCAGTCTTTGCGTCTTTTCCAAAGCATGAAACATAGCAAATAATTCACGTAACAGCCACGAACTTGGTAGCTCCCGATTACAAAAACATGGTGGGACTGCTCCCATGACTGGAGTGCTGCAATGGATGGCTATAAGCTCTTCAAAAAGGACAGGCAAGAAAGAAAGGGTGGTGCCTTGCCTCTCTATGTTAGAGAGTGCCTGGGGCTGGGAACGGTAAGGTAGAGTCTCTATGGGTAAGGATCTGCATAAAGGCTGAAAAGTCAGACATCCTGGTGGAGGCCTCTTGAGATCATTAAAGGCATTAAGGTCGCAGGCAGCTTGGGCTGCAGTGACCACACCCTGGTTGAGTTCATGATCTCAAGGGATGTGGGCCTGCCAAAGAGTGGCATAGGGACCCTGAATTTGGAAGAGCAAATTTTAAGCTGTTCAATGGACTGTTGGCCAACATCCCCTGGGACGCTGGCTTTAAAAACAAAGATGTTGAGGACAGCTGGCTACTCTTCAAAGATGCCACCGAGAGCAAAAGAGCTCTCCATCCCTCCGAATAAGAAAGCGGCAGAGAAGGTAGGAAACCGGCATGGCTCGGCAAGGACCTGCTGGGCACGCTAAGGACAAAGAAAGGCACGTACAAGCTCTGGAAACAAGGGCGTGTCACCTGGGAAGAATACAGGGATGCTGCCTGGACTTGCAGATGTGGGATCAGAAAAGCCAAGGTGCAGGCAAACTGAACTTGGCAAGGGACGTGAAAAACAATAGCAAGACTTTCTACAGGTACATTGGCTACAGGTACAGAAGAGACAGGACAAAGCAAGTGCACCTCCTTTGGTAAATGTAACAGGAGAAGTGGCTTCAAGGGACGAAGAGAAGGCTGAGGTACTGAATGAGTTCTTTGCCTCGGTCTTCACTGGCAGCCAGGATTCCAGTACTTCTCACATCCCTGAGCCATGCAGCCCTAAACCTCCAGGTGGGGACCGGGGTGGTAAATCCCCCCCCACTGTGAAGACAGAGCAGGTCTGAGACCGCCTCATGAGACTGAATGTGTACAAGTCTATGGGGCCAGATGGTGTGCATCCCACAGCTCTGAAGGAGCTGGCTGAGGTGGTTGCTGAGCTGCACTCCTTCATATTTGAAAAGTCGTGGCTGTCAGGTGAGGTCCCGGATGACTGGAGGATGGGTCACGTCATTCCCATTTACAAGAAAGGGAGCAAGGAGGACCCTGGGAACTACAGGCTGGTGAGTCTCACCTCTGTGCCTGGGAAGATCATGGAACAGATCCTCCTGGACGACATGCTTGATCACATGAGGAATGGGTGTGTGATCTGTGACAGCCAGCATGGCTTCACCAGGGGAAGGTCATGCTTAACCAATCTGGTGGCCTTCTATGATGGAGTGATGGCATCAGTGGACAAGAAAAAGGTGACCAACATAATTTACCTGGACTTTGACATGGTCCCCCACTACATCCTTATCTGCAAATTGGAGGGATGTGGATTTGATGGGAAGACCATCCCATGGACAAGAAACTGATTGAAAAGCTGCAGACAGAGGGTGGTCATCAATGGCTCTATGTCTAGGTGGAGGCCGGTAACAAGCGGCGTTCCCCAGGGGTCTGTCTTGGGACCAGTGCTCTTTAACATCTTTATCAATGACACTGATGATGGAATTGAGTGCACCCTCTGCAAGTTGCTGACAACACCAAGCTGAGTGGTGCGGTTGACACAGTTGAAGGAAGGGATGCCATTCTGAGGGACCTCTACAGGCTTAAAAGGTGGGCCTGGATGAACCTGATGAGGTTCAAGACAGCAAAGTGCAAGGTGTTGCGCTTGAGCCGGAGGAATCCCAGACATCCACAGACTGGAAGGAGCGGTCC